CAGGAATTAGATTCTATTAGACCTTTTAAAATGGCATAATTTATCAAAAGTTTTTGAGGATTTATTGGAATAATAAAAAACAGTTCAGTTTCATGATTGACAGAAGGGCAACATGAGCAGGTCTGTAATTCCAGAGATAAAAGATAGTTGTGCTTATATAAAGACATTAACAAAAACAGCTGCACCATTCATTTAAGCCATCAGCTCATCAGAATAGCATCTCTTGGTTTTTCCAATTGCTCATGGGCAAAAATATTCAATCTGTTTCTAGATTACAGTAGCCCTTGCTAACATTGGGCCTGTGACAATCCTGGGACCACTGGCACTTAAAACTACCTCTAGTCCTCCTTTTTTGGCTTCCAAGAAGTAAAAAGAAAAGTTCTACCTAAATGAACTGTCACATTTAGCTAATGACATTTGGTCTGCCTAATATTTTACAGAGGATGATCCTGCTATAAGTTCTGGGGTAAGGAATGGCCTGCCTAATTACCTACCCTGTTGGTCTCTCTTTAATACTGATCAACCTCTGATGCAGAAGTTTCCTTCACAAAATTGAATATTCCATCTCTCCTGGGCACCTATACGTGCTCTGCCTCATTGCCATCTATGAACTAGCAATCAGATAAGTAAAAGAATGTTATTGCCTTTGGCAAGCACAAGCATACAGGTCATGGAGCACGTCTGCAGTGGCTGCCAGGCCATTTTAAAATAGTGTTTTTCATTAAGTCTTTTAGCAACATGAAATTTGTTTTTCTGTATTAAATGGTACATAGTATTCTAGTTGTGGCATTTGCAAAATGCCACACATAACAGTGAGAGACTCCAAGAACTTTCCATGCAAAGAAAAGGACACCGGCCAGTGCTGGGTACACATGTGAAAATGTACCTTATATATTGGGGTGGCAAGGTAGGCATTATCTCTGTAAATGTACTTTTGATTAAGCATCCTGCTGGTTAGTTCTTGGTGGTGCTGCAAATGAAACATTTTGTTGTCATTGCTCAACTCAGAATAGAAGCATCTCAAACTCAAAAAACAAGTTTTCTTTCCCGTATGAACACCAGGGCAGCTCCATTCACAGATTTCTAAGCAGTAACCTCTCGTGCACTAACACCTAAGAGACGCCAAGGGGATGTTTCTTCTCTAAAGTGCTTCGGTAGGAGCTGTGTGGGTGTACCATTCAGTCTGGTCCTTTTGTTTTGTGTCCTTGCCACTGCAGCTCTCCACGTCATTGAGTCCTGTCATACTACTTTTGTTGCCATCCATTAAGTCTTCTTCTGCCAGCTCTTTGCTCTTCTTGGTGCCCTGGCAGAGGTCACTGGAGCTCTCTAGTAAGTTGATGCAAAATTTGATAATGAGTGCTAGCCAGGCCATCCCAAAGAGGATCCACAGAGAGATTACATTCTTGTACCAGCCTGGATAGGTGAGGTCTGGATTCATCCCTACAAGAGAATGACCCAACACATTTCTAGATTGGACCAAGAGTGTCTCAAAGGGAGGCATTACATGTAAAGCAAAAACTCAGTTCACAGAATCAGTCAAGGAAGCTCCTCAGTTAAGGAAGGACTACTGGTCATGACTCATCAGTAACATACTATCAATATAAAGAGTAACTCATGGACTCACGATGCTTGCTTTGCATGGTGAAAATGGAGTTCACACAACCATGATAATTGAGACAGTATACGAGTCATAGGGTAGGCAGAAATACAGACGAGCTTTAGCGCTTAGCAAAAGACCTAGAGGAAATATTATCTAACATTAATGACTTCCATATAAAACACGAGTATGCCACCTACTAAGCATGTAAATAGATACTTTAAAGCAAGTATGTTTCATAGATATGCAGCAACAGTCCAGAGCTCACTAGGAATTGTAAAGATTACTCATAAGAAAGAAAAATAAATCCAAAATTAGATCTATGTGAAAGCGAATTTGTTCACACAATCATGGACTACAAGTGTACAGTTTCATTTCTACAGTTATCATTCAGCATGACAATACTGTATTAGTATGCAACAGGTGTTCCCAGCAGGCAAAGAGGTAAGCGGATTTTATTTGCTCATTGGTGTATATGTCTCGTTAAGCCAACTGTAAGCATGTGAGTGAGTCTTTAAGACTGGGAGCAAAGGGAACTGAGCAGTCATAAGGGAAAAACTCTAAGACCAATCAGGCCCTGGTTGAAATTACGTTACCTCTGGCTGATTTCTCAGTAAGGTAACTTGCGATCTCTTCGGAGCAGAGCCCACATTTTTAGTCTGCATTTCCACAGTGTTCAGCGCAAAGAAGCTTCTACATGCTGAGTTAATGTCAGTAGTAATATATTAACATTGTTAATAATAATACAGGCAAAGCAAAGAAATGAGCTCAGCTCTATGAAGTGCCTGGACCGTATCTGTAAAGCAGGCTGGGGTACACTTACAAACATAGAGAAGACAGAAACTACAAACCAGTGACAGCAAAGTCTTTGCATGAGTTCTTTCCTCTACTGCTTCGCAGGTCTCATTATTTATTTTTCTTACCTTAGGAAGGTTTGCCAGTTTATAGCTGAATACCTACAGTGCAGCTGATACTAAAGAATACCAGATACTTTTGGGACACAGCCCGAGGAGTTAACAGGTATGACATGATGCTTCCATGGACCAGGAGGTCACTGCCCATACCACATTTCAAAGAAAAGGACACACAAGACTGGGTTGAAATGTGATATCAACAGAGGCAGGAGATTAGGTGCTTATCGTCTGTTACTGGCCATATGTAATAACCCTGCCCCAATACTGCCTGGATAAACTAGTGATTCCTAAATAGTCCCACAAAGCGTTATCATCTACAACATTATGACAAGTAGTCATTCATCAGTGGAGCCACATTAAACAGTCAATCCTTTATATCTGTTTAATTGTATTTTCATTACAATGGAACTGCAAGATATTTTGAGTTTGTTACTGGGCCATCAGTCCTAAACTTTTGGGACCTACCAACCACTTCTGTGGTAACTACTCTTTGGGCTGGCTTTCTGCATCAAAGTGAATTTCCATCAGAAAGATTATTGTAATCATCCTTCAAACAAGCACCTTTCATCAATGCTAAATTCAAAGGTATAAGAATTGTTTACTTCTAAATATTAAATGAAAACAAGAGAGAAGGACCATTTGAGGCTTCCAAGGAGAATCCTTTATCTAGAGATCATCTGATTTATACGTGCAGTTTTGGGTATGAGAAGATCAGAAGCAGTTCAGGACCCGCATGGCACCATGCTCCTAGTAGAAGGGCTTACTGAGTGTGTAGATTAATAGATTTCAAAGCCAGTAAGAGAAGGTATGTTAATACTACTAAATAAAAGAGGTGAGGGACCATTCTACAACTCCAAGGGCAAGCTCCGCAGCGTGGCTCATGTTCCCCTCAAAACACAGCAGCTTTGTCCAAAGTGAACATTGGACATCACGCTTGGTATGTGATATCCTCTAGAATTTGCCTGGGCCGGAACAGTGCCAAGGAGGGGAAATGGGGAAAACATGGGAAAACAGCATGATAGTCAAAAAAAAGTGCTTGCAACTATGCCCCGGCTCTGTTTAAAAGTAAAGACATAAACCAGAAACACAGAATTGTAAGGCCAAAATGGTCTGGCCTCTGCACGCCATAGGTCAGTAACATGTATCCAGTTACTCCCATACTGAACCTCTTTTTATCTTTGGCGATATACCAAGTAACACACAGGTGAAGGCATGCCTGGAAATGTGGGGGTATACTACAGAAGTACTTCAAAATTAGCAGGAAATGATAGAAGTAAAGCTGCTACAGCACAGAGTCCAACAACATCTATAAAACCAACACAGGAAAATGTTGAAGTGGCTAGCTTTTGCTAAGCTCTATCTGGCTACCCAAGCCAATTATCTAGGCTAACTTGTTTCAAGCTAGTTTTAAAGGCATCTACACAAGGTAGAGTCAGGGCTTTGGTGCATTATAGACAAGTCCTAAGGTACCTATCACTAAGTTTCCTGAGCATCAAACAAGCACTTTGAAGAAATGAAAATAAAGAATTCACAGTTAAACGTTTCAGTCTTTCTATCTCCCAGGGATTCATGGGTGCATGTATTTCTATAATCAATTTTTTTTTTTTAAATGAGAAAGCTTTTATCAAAAAGTGTGTTCTGTGTTTCAGTGAATGCATCAGGCATGGTCCCAATCCCATTTACTCTGGCAAAAGGTTTTGGCAAAGGAGAACAAGCAGTGCCTGGTGCCTGACAGTCTTCACCCTGGTGACTTAGGCTGCCCTTCAGAATGCAGTCATCTGGGGTTCTGACAGAGGAAACGGTCACTGTCTGTTAAGGGCAAAGCAGAGTAGCCTCAGCTTAAAACTAAATGTTCCCAGTGTCAAGTACTTCCACTGGAATGCACCAAGTGTGCAGTGAGAGAACGTGGCGATTAAAAAAGTAGCGTTCCGACCTGGTCTCATAGTCATTCAAGGAGGACATCACCTGGATGCTGGAAAGTCACTCAGTGACCTTGAAATGATTGTTTTGTCCCTCCACATGTGACTCTGCTACCTCAGAAATCATGCCCTCTTCAGCCTGTCAAACGCCTACCACAATGGATTTGTTATCTGGTCTGAAAACTGCTAGTGGTGTAAAACTGCCAAGCTGGGAGCTCGATATGCCACACATTTGGCTTTGATGTTGAGTAGGTGAAAGCAATGAAGTTTGAACTACTCACCAATCACATAATCTCCAAACCCTATAGTGCTTAGGGTAATGAAGGAATAGTAGAAGCCTTCTTCATAACTCCATCCTTCTTTAGCAGAGAACAACATGGGAGGTAGCAGGAGGAACAATAACAAGCAAGTTAGCAGTGCGCATATCCTAATCAGGAGGGTAGCTTTTTTCTAGTAAAACAGGGAAAAGATGACACTGTTAGAAGAAAGGTGGGACAAAGTCCAGCTCAATTTCTGATTGAAGATGATTCTGGACTCCATAAAAATCACACAAACATTCGTGACATTCCCTCAGAATAAATGGTATGGCTCTCCCAGTCAACACAAACTGGGCATCACTTATCGTGAGTCCTAAATGCATGCCATTTTAAGGCTATTCCACAAATGCTCCATGTAACTCTCATGTGCAATTTTAACTATGATTGACGATAAACAGATCAGATATCCCAGGGCTGCGAATGGCTCTAAGGCGCTTCTGTTGCCGTAGGGGAAGTCATTAATCAGAGCAAGTTCCATCAATTAATAAACAACCTTATCTGACACCTCATAGGGCTGTCATAAGTTAAATTTATTCACTTCCAGTTATTCCTGAGTATTATTCCAATTTTGGCCAAGAAGTTAGGCAGTCTGTTCTTGTTAGTATAAGGATGTCAAATATTAGACAATGCCCTTTCTCTCCTAAACTTGTGGGCAAGACATACCTGGCTGCATTGCTTACCTGCCAGTGAAACTTCTCCTCTAGGTGATGGGCACAATGCTGAACCCCTGACAGCATCAGCTGCCCAATTGAGTTCAAGAGAACAAGATTCAAGGGGATCCCAAAAAGTGCAAAGAAGATGCAGAAGACTCGACCAGCTGCAGTGCTGGGGCTTAGGTTCCCATAGCCTAGAAGGAGAGGAATAAGGTGTTAAATCTAAAGCAGTTTATGCTTATCCTCCTTCCCAGGAGAGATGGACCTCCATCTTCTACAAAAGAAAGAGAAGAAGGTCACTGCTCCAAAAGGATCTTTTTATAAATAACTATAACTTACATCCATTGTTTGTCATATCCTATTATAGGCTGGAAAACAACATTTCTTTCCCTGCCAATTTTGTTTAGTTCCTTTTCCATTTACCAGCGAATTTCCTCTCCCCTACCCACTGTCCTAGCTGGGATTTGACGTAAATGCAAAACTTCCGTTTATTTCACTTTTTGTAAGTATTGTTGGCATAGGGTTTGCTGGTAAATGATCCTGTACGGCTGTCAGAAGGTCCCTGAATCATAACAATAGAGTTTTAATAATAATAACCTTTTTCTACCTTTGTCCCACAGGACTAGTGAACTTACCACTGCCTTCTTGCTTATACTCTCCATTGTGCTGCGGGTACCACCTACACCTTATTATCGAAATTGTCAGATTGTTTACCATAAATCAATAAACTGAGATTAACTATATTTAATCTGAATAAAATGCTTCAATTTCATACCTAAAGAAAAACTTGTGTGTTGGAAAATTTGTTATTTTTTTCTAATCGTATCAGTTGGTTTAACAAAACATACTGCTCTGCAAACATAGCCTTGCTTGTATCCTTACACCATCATGGCTTCAGCAATGCTGCTGCAATGTTTGCCTTTAGTCCTCACGTTTCTCTTCTTAAAATATCCTGTAAATTAACAGACTTGCACTTCAGTACTTTCACGTGGCTTATGACATGAGGAAAGTCAGATCTAACTTTTGTTTTTTTCCAGAGGATGCTTTTAAGACAAGGGAAAGATTAGTGCCTGTTAAGCATTTCGGCATCAGCTTAGCCACTTAGAGCCCTATGGCCTTGACTAGATTTCAAAATCACTTTCTCTCGTTACAGAATTCGTATGTGTCCGTATACAAAACTGACGTAAGCTGGCAAAATGCCTCTTTTCTCCAAGAAGATCGCTAACTCCCGCCCAGCAACACACAGCTGCTAGCTCACTGCACCCCAGAGGCTCTCCTGCCGTGGGAGCCTCCTTCCTGCACTTGCCAGCGGCACGGCCCCGTGACGAGCGAGCAGCACCCCAGGAGGCAGAGCCCCAAGCGCTGGGCTCTGTAACAGCTGGCCCGAGCACCCACGGTTGGCAAAGTAGGGCCCTGCTCCTTAAATGACGTTCATCTCACATCAGCCGCTGGAAGCCACTGAACAACAACGTAATAAGCTCCGACTATAAACTTGGGATTTCAACACATTCTGCACCGAGTTTTACGCTGACAAAAATCTCTTGCCATGGACCGCTCCACAAATACACATGTATACCTCTGCACATACACAGGTAAACTAACCAACTAAAGGTCTGGCAAGAAACGCTCTTACAGTATGCATGTAGGCTATCTTTTCGTCTCCTCCCTCCAATAACTTTAGGTTTAAATGCTTTGTAAGCCCCTTACTTTTAACATACACAGTAACACGTAACATATTTCCAAAGCAATGGCTCCAAAATTCTGGCCCAGAAAAGGGGCAGAGTGCCACTGGGAAAGAACGGGATGCTGTTATGTAACCAAAGATTGTTTTGAAATACATTCAAACAAAGAGGCAAAAGCAAGACTGTTCAGCAGCCTTAATTCTAATGCTATATTCTTTACTTTTCAGTTACTCTGCAATTTTTATACACTGTCTTTTTTCTCCACATGTAATTGCTGACAGTCACTTCTACTGGCTTTGAACATTTCTAGACTAAAAGGTGTGGCAATCTACCAGGCAAGTAAACCTGGTAGATTATCCCTTTCGAGTGAATTTGATGGATGTGTGTCTGGTATGGTCTGTGTCATGCTGATTGTGCCACACTTCAGCAAACTGATTCCAGTTTTTCCTCTGTAACAGTATTTAGGGCGTTTTGCAGGTTGGTCTGGACTCAGGGGACAGAGCTGGGAGATAGTTACTGTAAGGCTGGAGCTTGAAGGTGAGTCACATTGATCTGGCCGAGGACGTTTACAGCCAGCCATTTGTGAGGTTTTTTTTCTTTCCCTTCTATATAAGGTTAACAAAAGCTGTGTGTTGGCTTCAGCAGCTCTTCTGCCACCTCAGCTTCCCATGCTATCCAGCCTCTAGAGAAGACACTCAAGAGACAGAAGAAAGGTCCATGATCTCAGGTTACACACAATGCGAAGCACAGTTACCTTCAGGATTCTGTGGACCTCACTTCATACTGACTAGGAAGCATTTAAGGTCCGCAGTAGGTTAAGTTGTACATTACACTTACTTGAGAGTAGCAAATTCACTGCCTGAATGATGTAAGAAGGTCCAATGTGTATGGTGTTCAGCTGAATACCCGATCTGCGTTCTATATAGGATTGATCTTGCTCCCTTTTCTCTTGGGCTCAGTAGCTTAGGATAATTTCCTGAAGACCTGGTGAGCAGTTGCTGTGGATATGCTGAAAAGCCATGTCCCATCATCTTTTTATACGGGATACAAGACTGGATCAAACGGCACGGCAAATCTTAGACTGTGCAAAAACGACTAGCAACCTACCTCTGGCCCATGGCCCACCCTTGCCTTTGGACTAGAGAAATGGATGTCAGTATAACCTTATCATTCTATTTTCTTGTTACAAACCCCAAACAGGAATGAGCAAATGGGACTTACCCTGTTCAGTGAAAGGAACTAGAGCGACATGTTATGCCATTGCAGGCTATACATTATTCTTTGGAGCTGATTCAGACCTTTTAAATTAAGCTACACGCTGTCAGCTGTGTCCCCACACAAGCCTGCTGCTGCGATCTCACTTGGTGCTTGTCCGCATAGGCACACTCAGGGATATTCATGAAAACTATGTGGAGGTCTAAGTAACTGGATTAAATTCCTGTATACCTGTTCTCATTCCAAAAAAAGTCCAACATAGCTTAACCTTCCTCAAAATAAGAGCATTTCTATTTCTAACTGATCATATTCACATGCTTTAACTCATATGCTTCAGCTACATAGCTTCAGTAAATTCAGCTTAGTTTTCCTGCATGCCTATTACATTACCAAACATAAGAGATGCATGGGCTCTGCGAACTGGCTAAGAAGAGGAGACTGATGTATGATTAATGGAGTATTAGTAAAAGATCTCTTCATTTGCAAGACATTATCCCACTCACAGTGCCTCCAGCTCAGCCATGGCAACTGCTACTTCCTGCTACTGACAATGGGAGATATGTTTGGCTCCAATTCTCCCTGCCTAGTTGTGAAAGTCTTATTTTAAGCAAAGAGCACTTTGGATGAAAAAAGGCAGTTCTGATTAGCTGAAAAACATCTACAAATTCACCAAATAATTTCAGTTAGGGAAAAAAAAACAGTTAGATTTTCACAAAAAAAGCCAGAAGAAAAGGCCCTTCTTTATCCAGTATCTTTATCAGCGGTTCGAACTTTTGCGCACAGTTTTGGGGAGATTTTGGGTTAATTCTTTCTCCTACCTGAGTAGATACAAACCAAGAGTTCCCATAGGAATGACCTTATCGGAAAGCTACAGGATGTTCTTGTGTAGGAGCAGGGAAGGGCTCTTAGCCTCGCCTGCTGACAGTATTTTGCTTTGAATGCTCAAACACTCAAAGCCTGGGAGCTGTGTGGCTCGCCTTCCGCATGAGTGCCCGAACCATGGAGCCACTGGGCATTCAAGTGTGGAGCGCCAGCACCAGAATTACTTTACTCTGTATTACACATTTAAATACTCAAAGAAAGATGCTCCACTTGGCAGTTGGGGCAATCTCTAGTGAGCCACAATCCTGTTCTCCCAGGCACAAGTGAAAATTATACACTGCTCTCCTACACCCTGAGGGAGTGCTCAAACCATCGAGCTTCTGGCAAGAAGTACACTGCCATTTCCTTGTCTAACACTTTTCAGAAGATCTAACCTTTTATTTCCCCTATATTTCTTAAAAGTAACCTGAGTGTTTTAATCTGGTCTAAAAGAAAGCTTTTGTTCATGATGAATTTAAACGTTGCACTGAGGGAAAAAAAAAAAAAACTTGAATTCAGTTTAGAGGGAGAAGATTTCTTATTATAATTCAGCAGTCAAAGTGGAAAAAAACAGACATTGATTATTCACATAGCCCTAAGCTATGTTTATCTAGTTCCTGAAAAGTGACCGTATGCCTAGCTTAGCTGGGATATGCCCTTGATAAAACTGTGAGAAACCTGGTCTGACCTCATAACTGATGCTGCTTCAAGCAAGAGTCACGATCTTCCGAGGTCCCCTTTAACCTGAATTACCCTGTGACCCTTGCAAGCAGTAAGATTTTCAAAGGCAATTAGGTACCATCTATACTCAATTGAACATCAGTGAGACAGGTTCCTATCTTCTCTCATACCTTTGAAAACCTCTGCCAGCACTAGCTACTCAAAAGAAGTAAATGTGCTTGCCTTTTCAAGCTTCCCTTGAGATTTTGTTATACCCACATTCTCTAAAAGGAGGAATGCTTAACATTTAGACATGGCTACTGAACTCAGCACAGCTGATATTGGAAGACATAGTTATTTCTATTTCATAGGTGCGATCCACTGAACAGTGGCAGAGACAAAGAGGGCTCAGCAGTTCCAGTACTTGCACTAGCATGTCAGCTTTGTTAACAATCCCAAAAATTATGAGAATGGATTTTTAAAAGGCAGCGGTGGCAGGATCTAAGGAACCATGTCTCATATGAGGAAGCTCGTTTGAACACTGGCAGGTTGAAAGGAAAAGAAAGTGGAGAGTAGTAAAAATCATGTGGAGTGAATAGCATAGCAGATGCATTGACCATGTTTGTGGGCGATTGTCCTAAGGCATAAGCATTAGAGATCCTGTTACTATCACAATACTCTGTTTATCTGTCCAAGTTGGCCAATGTGGGACCATAAAAACAAACAATGCTAGAACTGTTCTTGACTTGCTTTCTATTCTGGGGACCAAATCCAATTAATCTGAAGCTCATAGAAAAGATGAAGAGTAGTAAGAATTCTCTTTGATGAATC